ACGTACATATATAGCAATTTATTAAGCTGCAATAAGAAATGAACAGCTGGGTGCCGGTGGCTCATGCCTGTAATCCTAGCTACTCAGGAGGCTGAGATCTGAGGATCCTTTGCCAGCCTGGGAAGGAAAGTCCTTGAGACTCTTATCTCCAATAAACCACCAGAAAACCGGAAGTGGCGCTGTGGCTCAAGTGGTAGAGCGCTAGCCTTGAGCTGAAGAACTGAGGGACAGAGCCCAGGCCAAGTTCAAGCCCCACAATCTTAAAAAAAAATACAGTATTGCTTATTTATCAGGATTACTTATCCCTAAATTTGTTTTCTACTTTGCTCTCCTTTGCCATCTCCTGCTCTGCAGGGAATTCAAATGAAAAGACCCTGGAAGAGCAGAGAATTGAGTATACTAACTAAAAGTCATGGAGCTGTTTGTGCCATGTGGTGAACAGACAGTTATTCTCAGAGAGGAAATAGCTGTGCCTGTATAAACACATGGAAAAAAAATGTCCCCACCCAAAGGAAGTTTTAAGGCTGTCCCCAAGGCTGAAGTACAGTTAAGGCCTTTCTAACTCTACTCGAGCGCTGTGATATTCCCATCTGGCACAGGGTTAAATAAAGACCCAGAAAAGCCCGGCCGTTCTCCTCAGATCCAGAATAAAGAGAATGGCAGAGTGCATATAGTCCTAATAGATAACTTTCTCCAAGAATAAACAACTGATTTGGAATCTAACATTTGAGGAGAAAAATGAGCTGGACAGCTGGATTCCATGGCCTGAGACTGGAAGGGAAGATGACCAGACTACAAAACAAAACAAAACTGGATGCCGGCGGCTCACACCTGTAATCCTAGCTACTCAGGAAGAAATATGAGAATCGAGGTTTGAAGCCAGCCCAGGCAGGAAAGTCCACGAGACTCTTTTTCTGAGTAGTTTGTTAGAGATAAGAGTCTCCTGGACTTTCCTGTCATGGCTGGCTTCAAACTACAATCCTCAGATCTCAGCCTTCAGAGTAGCTAGGATTACAGGCGTGAGCCACTGGGGCCCAGTTTCTATGAGACTTACCTCCAATTAGTCACAGAAGAAGCTGGAAGTGGCACTGTGGCTCAAGTGGGAAAGTGCTAGCCTTGAGCAAAAGGAGCTCAGGGACAGTGCCCAGGCCCAGAGTTCAAGCTCCAGGACCAGAAAAAGCAAAGCAAAGCAAAACAAAACAAAACAAAAAAGTACAATTCAATTGGCAACGTGTAGAATTTTTTAGTAAGGAATTCATGGAGAAAACCCCTAAAGAAGCCTTGTGACTACAGCCGTGAGTTCTTATGCATTTTCAGAGCCGATATACAAATTCGGCAAAAACAAAAACAAAGAAGACAAAATTGCCATGAACAGTTCTTTCAGCAGGAAGCACGGGGAGCCTGCTACGCAGCATAAAGATCATTTTTAATACTTAGGGGTAGGGAGCTTTTTTCCTGCCAAGGGCCATTTGGATCCTCATAACATCCTTCATGGGCCGTACAAACCTATCAATCCAGACAGACAGCTGCAGCCAAAGAGAAGCATATAAGCCCATCCAGTCATATACAAATGATTACATGAGCCTTATCCAGCCCTGGAGCCAGGCCTTCCCCAGCCTTGCCGGAGTAAGCAATAGTTAAATCCGCTGCTTAGGGCAGGTTCTGCTGGCCGATAGATCCCACCAGGCCTGTGTTTTGTTCTCCTGTTGGCTTATTTTTTACTTAAGAAAAAAAAAATTTGGTGCCAGTCATGGAGCTTGAACTCAGGACCTAGGTCCTATCCCTGTGCTTTTTTTTTTTCTTTTTCTCAAGACTAGTGTTCTAGCACTTGAGCTATAGCTCAAATGGAGATGAGTCTTATGGTCTTTCCTGCCCAGGCTGGCTTTGAACCACGATCCTCAGATTTTAGCCTCCTGAATAGCTAGGATGGAGGTGTGAGCCTCCAGTGCCCAGCCCTTGTTGGTGTTTGAGAGGGATATTTGACCTCCATTTTATTATTTACTTATTTTGGGGGGTTGTGGGTCTTGAACTCTGGGCCTGGGCTCTGTCCCTCAGCTCTTCAGCTCAAGGCGAGCACTCTACCATTTTGAGCCACAGTGCCACTTCTAAGAGGGATATTTGAAAGCAAGGGAAAAACAACTCTTCTCATGTACAGAAAGCATATCCGGGTAGGCTCTCATACTTTGCACATGGGATGGGGGCCCTTTGCAAGTGATTTCTTTGAGAAATCTGAAAGAAGTGGAGAGTTGTCCTGAGATACTAGAGGTGAGCAGCAAACCGGAGCCTTTGGTACAAAGGAAGAGTCGCAGCTGATGATAACATGAAGGAAGGCAGGAACAGGTCAGATCTTCAGATGCTCGCTTAACTCTCTCAGAAAGCTGCAGCCTCAGTTCCCACGAGACAGCAAGGGCACTCTGAGAACTGGTTCTCAGGCTCCTCCCTCTTCTTTTCTTGGAGTCACTGAGTGGTCAATGCAATTCAGGTGCAATGCATTTGACATCAGCAAATACTACATAGGCTTAGAATGACTATGTGAAGTTGGTATCCACAAATTAATAACTTATTTTTTGATGATACTGGGATTGCTAGTTAGATGCTCAACTACTTGATCCACACCCCCATCCCTTCTTTGTTTTAGTTTTTTTTTTTGGTCAGTCATGGGGCTTGAACTCTGGGCCTGGGCGCTGTCCCTCAGCTCTTCAGCTCAAGACAAGCAGTTCCAGTTTCTAGTGGTTTTTATTGGAGATAAGAGTCTCATGGCCGGGCGCTGATGGCTCCCGCCTGTAATCCTAGCTACTCAGGAGGCTGAGATCTGAGGATCACGGTTCAAAGCCAGCCCGGGCAGGAGAGACCGTGAGACTCCTATCTCCAATAAACCACCAGAAAACCGGAAGTGGCGCTGTAGCTCAAGTGGTAGAGCGCTCGCCTTGAGCTGAAGAGCTGAGGGACAGCGCCCAGGCCCAGAGTTCAAGCCCCACGGCAGACAAAAAAAAAAAAAAAAAGAGTCTCTCTCCCCAGGCTGGCAATCCTCCTGGACTACAGTTCTTTACCTGAACTGCAATCCTCCTACCCATACCTTCTGAATAACTGGGATTACAGGTGTATGCCACCATATCCAGATTTTTGTTGAAATGGCGATCTCATTAATTTTCTTTTGGTCTGGTCTGTCCTCAAATTGTGATCCTCTCAATCTCTGCTTCCTGTGTAATTAGGGTTATAAACAAGTCCCCTCATTAATTATTCTAAAGGTATTGATATCAAATCTAGAAATATATATGACGTAGATCTCTATAGTCTCCTTTAGCCCATCATTTTCATTAGTAGCTATTAAATATTGAGAGAATGCAAATATAGAGGGAGAGATCTAAGGGAAATTATTGTGATGAAAGCTGGGAAGAATAATGGGTGGAATGAATAAAATAGGGATGCAAGCTCCAGCCCCTCCCTTGGCCTCACATCCAATGATATGATATGTCTTAAAAACATACATACACATGAACACAAACCTAGATCATGTTACACACACAAAAAAGGGCATATCAAATGTTGTAATCTCCATTTCATGACTTGTAAGAGAGCAATTAATCAAAGATGTAATAATGTTGCACCCATATATGATTTATATTTGCATAGAATTTGCTCAGTTTGTTACTAGGGTATTTGTGTATTCCTTAGTAGTTGTAAGATGCGCTATATGTTAGCTCCTTGCCTAGTATTCCAAATATTTGACCTGGTATCTCATCTAACTCTGTAATCTTTCTTATTATTGTTTCTGGTATATACTTTTCATGTGGTGAAGGCCTTCTCTTATTGGCAGTCTCCCACTTTAATAGATACACTTACAAAATTCTTACCCACTTTAATATCCATCAACATTTTCTGATTCATTCAGGTTTCAATTTAAAAGTCTTTCATCAGTCTGGATTTTAATTTGGGCATATGGTACAAAACAGCTAGCCAATTTTCTCCCACATTAGTCATGAATATTTTATCATTTCCCTAGTGATTTGAAACAGTAACAAAACAAGAGTAACAGGAATAATAATTCACAGAAGCTAACTAACATTTGCTTATTGCTCACCAGGTGCTAGGCCCTGATCTAACATACATTAACTCATGCATTTAGTTTTTGGTATTTTTTTGTCGGTCGTGGGGCTTGAACTCTGGGCTTGGCGCTGTCTCTGTGCTCTTCAGCTCAAGGCAAGTGCTACACCACTTGAGCCACAGCACCACTTCTGGTTTTCTAGTGGTTAATTAGAGATAAGAGTCTCACGGACTTTTCTGCCTGGGCTGGCTTTGAACCGGGATCCTCAGATCTCAGCCTCCTGAGTAGCTAGGATTACAGGCGTGAGCCACCAGTGCCTGGCTTAACTCATTCATTTCTCATGATAACCCTGCCGAGTGGTCACTATGATTATCACCTCCCTCAGTGTGGGACTAAGTGGCCGAATTGATTATAATATTTGCTTAAGCATAAGACCCCTAAGTTTAATTCCCAGTATGGAAAAAAAAATACTTGCTATATTTTACCACTGGAGCTAACTAACATTTTTGAACCAAAATGTACATAATGTCTTCTTTCTATATGCATAAGGAAATTGCTCTCACACACAGAAAAAAAAAATCTATCAAGTGTAATTGACCTGAGAGAGGACCAACACAAAGCAATCCATTATGTGGTATTTATATACTCACAAGATCAGCTTTCTTCTTCCCATAACGTTAATATGGTCTGGTTTTACACTTCCTCTTCAGAAATACCCTGGAACTGTGGACTGTGGTTTCCTGAGGCCCCATATCCTGTAGACCAAATTGGGGCTGGGGTGGCTGGCAGGGAGGGGGGGAGAGGGTATAGCAGCACTGTGGGGGCATTCTTGGGATTCTTTGTTAAATGAGGCCCAACTCTAGGCTGTGATGGAATGGGCACATTTGGGTGTGTGCCTCCCGGGAGGGCCATGGTGGGCTGCCCTGGGGGCTCAGTGTGTGGTTTTGTCCCACAGATTCGTCACTCACACCGCAGCAGATGGTGGGTGTTGCGCTGGGCTCCATTGCTTTTGTGGTTCTTCTTGCATTCCTCTCCTTCTCAGCAGTGTGGTATGTGGGTTGTCATTCTTGAGAAATGAGTAGAATGGGGGGAGGGTCTAATGGGGAGGAGTCATGCAGAACAGCTGGGGATGAGGGTCCTCGGGGACAGGGGTGGGAGGCATGACTAACCCTGCAGCTTAGGGTAGAAAGGAGAAGTGCTCCAAGAGAAAGATAACTACCGCAGCCACGCACACAGCAGGCTGGCTGATCTCCCATGATGCTCCTCTCTCCACCCCCAGGCATGGGATTCACATGGACAAAACCAAAGGCCATTCACTTTGCTTCTTCCTTTTCTTCCTCTCTGTCTAGATGGTGGATTGGTGCTGAATGTAAGGATGCACTGGTGCTGGGACAGATGTTTCCACAACTGTTTTTACAGCTTCTCAGGTGCCTGCAGAGGCCCAGAGTGGCTTCCAGCCAGAGGGGTGTGTGGACCTGTATCTTTCTCCATTCCCAGCATTGTCTCATTCCTGGATTCAAGATGGCAGCTATCACCGTGGAGCCACTCCCCCACCCCTGCCCCCAAAGGAGGAAACTCAGCAATCCTTACTGTAGCTTCAGGAACAGTTCTGTACCTGTGAACTTGAGACCAATGTGATGCTTGACCACAGACTACAGATCATGGCTGTTTGGGCTAGGCGATGCTGAACGACAGCTCTTCTACATATCGGATTCAAAAGAGTCTCTGTAGCTTCTTTTTGTTTTAAAATTTTTATTGTTATTATAAAGGTGATGTACAGAGGGGTTAAGGTTACCTAAATCAGGTAAAAAAAAGCACCAATATTTCTTTTTGGACAATGTCACCCCTTCCCTCAGTCTCTCTCCCAGTTTTTACCTCCTGTCCCCACCCACAAGTTGCCTATCTTCTTTTTATAGCATTTCTGCTAGTTAATTTAGGACTTTTTTTTTTTTCGTCAGATATCATGAGATGGTCTTATTTGGGGGATAAAATTTGGCTTTTCTGCTGGAGGTTATTGAAAAGAATAACATTGACATGGACAAATGCTTCAAGCATTTTAGAAGCAGTTCTCCTACAACTAATTGATTTTCTAATTGATTAGAAAACACACTAGCCCAACCACTGCAGGAAGTAACCCGCAATGTCCATTATCGAAACAGTATTGCTGTGATACAATTCCAGTTCTATGTGTGCTCCAAAGTAATGTCTGCATTTAAAGTAAAAACATTCTGGAATGTACATGGCTCTTACTTTAGTTAAATTTTGCTGGGTGCTTCCCTTTCCAAGTTGGGGAGCGATGGAAATGTAGTAATGAAGGGTTAAAAGACCATCATCCTGTTCATAGAGAGGCAAGAATCCACGTTTCAGGAGCAGGAAGATAATGGTGGGCCACACCTCATCTGCAGCTGTTGTTACTATATCGTGGCACCTGAGATGTTGGGTACAACAGTCCGAGTATGTTGTCATTATGCTGAATTTACAGATGGAGTATATTAGATTTAACTTTTGTTTTTCTTGTCGGTCGTGGGTTTGAACTCCGGGCCTGGGTGCTGTCCCTGAGCTTTTGTGCTCAAGGCTACATTTTACCACTTTGAGCCACAGTTCTACTTCCAGTTTTTTGGTGCGTAATTAGAGATAAGAGATCCTCAGATCTCAGCCTCCTGAGTCTCTAGGATTATAGGATTTAACTGTGTGTGTGTGTGTGTGTGTGTGTGTGTGTGTGTGTGTGTGTTGTGTGCTGGTAGGAGGGCTTGAACTCAGGGTTTCATGCTCTTACTTAAGAAGTTTGACACTCTACCATTTGAATTGCCCTTCCACTTCCAGCTTTTTGCTGATTACTTGGAGATAAATGACTTAAGGACTTCTCTGCCCCGGCTGGCTTATAACCAAGATCCTTCCTCAGTGCTCAGCTTGCTGAGTAGCTAGGATTCCAGGCATGAGCCCTAGGGGGGCTTGGCTTAGACTTGACTTTTACAGATTGAATTCTGATAACTGATCTCACCAAAAGAATGATGGAGAAGAAAGACAGACTCGGGACTTTCCTCCTGACTTGCTTGGCCTAGAACATTAAGGAGGAAAAAGGGGAACAGTTACATTGCAAACTGCCAGAATGGAGCAGCTGGAACAGTGGAGGTGGAATTGTGCCCCATTCAGTGTGGTGTGTTCTCTACTGTCTGGTTGGATGTTGAAGGGGGACAAATCTGAGTGACCTGGCCCGGTGGTTTGGATGCAATCGTCCCCACCAGAACTCAGGATGCAGTTTGATAGTGATTTGTGATGGTGTTGGGAAGGTGAGATCTATAAGAGCTGATGTGCTTGTTCAGGGGGATTCATGCCGTTCTTGAATGAGTGACTTCTCACTCTGTGGGACAGGTAAGTGACTGTGCGCAGGTTGCTGTGCATGAGCCCACTCCTCCCCTTCCTCCTCCTCGCCCCTGGAGTTCCCTGTGCTTTGAAGCATCACAAGGCCCTCACCAGAAGGCATGCTGAAGCCAGCACCAGGCATGTGGCCTTGTGAATCTCCAGATGTTTATTGTGAGCCACAATAAACTGTTGTTTGTAAATCATCCCATTTCCAGTATTCTTTCATAGTAGCAGAAAACAGACTAACAGAAAACAGACTTATACAGGGAAGCACCAAACAAAATTTAACAGAATATAGACTAATACCAAACTGTATTAACACAATACACATATCTGTTAGTTAGGGCTTTTTTTCTGTATATATTTTTATTGTAAAAATACTGTACAGAGGTGACAGTTACATGAGTAAAGTAATTAGTACATTTCCTAGCAAGCATTGTTACCTCCTTCTTTGTTTTTCCCCTATTTTTTTTCTGCGACAAATGCCTCTCCTCTCAGTTAATAAAGAGACAGGAAGAACTTGACCATATAGAGGTGCCATGCTGGGCGGGAGAGTACAAAGTTCTCCAGTCAATTGAAAAAAGTCAGGGAGAGAGAATCTCCCAATGTTTGCTTGTTCAGTGCCAGCTGCCAGACTCGGTTCCCTACCAGCGAGGCAGTTTTAGGTATAACTATCCTCTGTTCTTTGAAGAACTACTCCACATTGAAACTTAAGTGCCATATTGAAAGCTCTTCTCATTGACTATAGAATGGAACTCTTAACAGACTATACAAGTAGCTTTCTACTTTTAATTTTTAGGAGCAAGAACTCAAACTTTCACAACAATTTTAAAATTAGCATATATGAGTTGTACAAAGGAGGTGTTTAGTGCGACATTTCTATATTCCATTTAATGCACCCACCATGTTCACCCCCTCCCTCATGTCTCTCCCTTATCCCTCCTTCTCTTTCTAAAACAATTTCAACAGGTTTCATTGTTCTGAGGTGTTTTGTTTGTTTGCCTTCTGTTTTGTACTAGTCCTGAGGATTGAACTCAGGGTCTTGGTACTATCCCCAATTCTCTTTTTGCTCAAGGCTAAAGCTCTACTACTTGAGCCATAACTCCATTTCTGGCTTATTATTATTATTATTATTTTGTGGTTTATTGGATATAAGAGTCTCACAGACTGGTTGGTCTTCCCTGGCTGGTTTTGAACCACAAACCCTCATAATCTCAGCCTCAAACGACAAAATCTACCAGGCACTGATGGCTCATCCTCAGGAGTCTGAGTTCTGGGATCATGGTATGATGCCAGCCTGGGCAGGAAAAGTCCCTGAAACTCTTATCTCCAATTAACAACAACAAAAAAGCTGGCAGTGGTACTGTGGCTCAAATGGTACAGTGATAGCCTTGAGGGAGGTGGGGGAGGAAAGCTCAGAGACACTGCCCAGAGACACTCTGAGTTCAAGGGCCAGGACCAGCACAAAACAAAACCAAAAAACTATCCACTATTAGTGCTATAAAAGCCATATATGTCTGTATTCCCTTAATTTCATAATCTGGAACTAATTGCCAAAGACAAACCTGTCCAAAGGGCTCAGCAGAATTCATAGCAGGAAGAAATCCACATGCTTTGATTGGAAAGTTTCTGGTTAAAATAACTGGCTAACTATTAAGTTAAATATCAGCTGTGGGTCTGGGGCAGGAATATTAACACAGTTCACATATCTGTTAGTTGTTTGGATTTTGCAACAAAAACCTGAGAGAAACACTTGAGCGGAGAAAAGATTTGGCTCATGGTTTTAGAGGTGTCGGGGTGTGGTTGGCTCCTCCATTGCTGTGGGGCTGAGGTGGGTCACAATATCCAAGTAGTACAAGTGATTGGCAGAATGAACTTGCTCATCTCACGACAACCAGGAATCAGAGAGAGAGAGAGAGAGAAAGATGGGGGGAGGGTGGAGAGGGGTGGAGATAGGGGAGAAAATACCTGTGCTAGTGGATGTCCTCCGTCTCCTTCTTCCTCTTTGATTCCATCTGGTCTTCAGCCTATGGGATGTTACCATCCATATTTGGGATTAACTAAACATCCTTCCTGGAAACACCTCACAGAAAGCCAGAAGTGTGCTTCAGTAATCTCCTAGGCATCTCTCAGGTTGATAATGAAGATGGACCATCACAATGCACACTACCAAAACAACAAAAAACATAGACTTCGCCATTTTGTCAGATTGTTCTAAATTATGATGCAGTTTCTCAGTGTAGTACATAAGAGAACAATGCTGAGCATTTGCAGAAAGGTTGCTTCATTTTTTCTGCAGTTCTTTCCTAATAGTTTTCCCAAAAATGTAAAGACAGCTTTAAGTTCCCTAAATTTGCCTGGTAGCTTTACTATAATAACGATTTTATTGTTTGAAGTTTGTTTGTTTTTTGTTTTTGTGCCGGTCCTGGGGCTTGAACTCAGAGACTTGTCACTGTCCTTGAGCTTCTTTGCTCAAAGGCTAGCACTGTACCACTTGAGCCAAAGTTTCACTTCTAGCTTTTTGGGGTTAATTAATTGGAGAGAAGGATCTTATGGACTTTCCTGCCTGGGTTGGCTTCAAACCTTGATCCTCAGATCTGAGCCTCCGGAGTGGCTTGGCTTAAAGGTGTGAACCACTGGCCAGCTTGAGGTTTTATTTTTTGTTGCTGCTCTTTGTTTTCCTAAGTAGATTCACAGTTCAGGGGTAGGGGAAGTGTCTTCACAAAAGACTAATGGTTCTTCACAGGAGAATGCAGGATCTTCTATCAAAGGTCTCATCACACTAACGCTAGAGCCTAAGGTGGCAATGGAGGGTCTATTTTTTTTTTTTTTAATGAATTTCTCTTGTGGACAATGTGTAGAGGTGAGTGCTTAGATCTAGTCTGGAGTTTCCTTCTAGAGCAAGACTCAAGACTGGGAGATTTCCAAACATAAAATATGTTTTCTGTGGGCTGATGTTTTGGGGGGGCCCATAGTTTCTGTTTATGTCCTTGGCAATACAACAGACACCTCTTTCATTCCATCTTCACAAAGATTCTGTGTGAGAGAAAGATCGATGGTCACTGGTTTCCATTTTTAA